CTCCTGCACTTCAGATCAGTGAAGTTGATGTGCGTCAGGTCTTCAGGAACAACAAGAGAAGAAAGGCACCAGGCCCAGATGGTGTGACACCAGCCTGTCTGAAATCCTGTGCTGACCAGCTGGCCCCCATCTTCACACAGATCTTCAACAGATCACTGGAGCTGTGCGAAGTCCCCTCATGCTTCAAACGCTCCCCCATCATCCCTGTCCCAAAGAAACCCAAAATTACTGGACTTCAGGACTACAGACCTGTGGCTCTAACGTCTGTGGCCATGAAATCATAAAAAAAATTGGTTTTGGCTTCTCTGAAGGACATCACTGGACCCTTACTGGACCCCCTGCAGTTTGCTTACTTATGTGAGGATCCTGTTTGTGGACTTCAGCTCAGCTTTCAACACCATCATCCCAAACCTCCCCCTGTCCAAACTAACTCAGCTCTCTGTGCCCTCCTCTGTCTGTCAGTGGATCAACAGCTTCCTGACAGACAGACAGCAGCTAGTAAAGCTGGGAAAATTCTCATCCAGCACCCGTACGATCAGCACTGGTGCCCCCCAGGATTGTGTTCTCTCCCCACTGCTCTTCTCCCTCTACACCAATGACTGCACATCTAAAGTCCCCTCTGTCAAGCTCCTGAAGTTTACAGATGACACTGCAGTCATCTGCCTCATTCAGGACGGTGACGAGTCCGCTTACAGACAGGAGGTTAAAGAGCTGGTTGTTTGGTGCAGTCTTAATAACCTGGAGCTGAACACGCTCAAAACTGTAGAGATGATCGTGGACTTCAGGAGGAACCTCCCTGCACTCCCTCCACTCACCATCATGATATTTCAAAGCAATATTTCTAATTAAAAACTGATCACGTGAAATTGGAGTCAGATTGAACATGGAGCTAGACAAAATTGAAACTAAGTCCTGATAAATTCAGAAGCGCAAGTAAAAGACCGGATACGCATTAAACCTTCAACCAGGCCGCTGGATTCCGCTTTTTGGGCTGGCGGGTGGATCCTTACACAGCACACTCCCTCTTTGAACTGTTGCCATCTGGTCGACATTACAGAGCACTGAGAACCAGAACGGCCAGACACAGAAACAGTTTTTTCCCCTCAGGCAATCCATCTTATGAACACTTGACAATAAACATGGAACACACAATACTACTATACATTTATTTATTTAACACACTTTTTTACATTTCAAATTTGCACATATCATACCTGTGCATACATAATTGTCTATATTGTATATTGTGTTTTTGTTATTTTGTACATTTGTATATTATTCTTTTATCTATGTCCTGACTAGTCACTGTCATTCTGTTGCACTGTGGAGCTTCTGTCACTAAAATAAATTCCTCGTATGTGTAAACAGTCCAGCTACTCAACCACAAACTGGAGGACCCAAACTATAAACTGGAGAAACTCAAGTATGTTTGGCAGTAGTACTGACTAGATCAGGGATAGGCAACGTCAGTTCTGAAGTGCCATTGTCCTGCAGAGTTTAGCTCCAAAAACGCAGCTGCCTGTAGCCTTAGTAATCCTGATTTAGATCACTGTTTTGCCAACCGAAATCCAAGTGGAGCTGCTGTTGTCTTTGCCACTGAGAATTTTTATTTTTTTGCTCAATGACATAGATTACACAATTATGTGAATAGGTTGCAATATAATCAATAGCTTAAATGAGTAGTTCATTGCCTGAAAGTACAAAGTCTTCTAATGTGATTCATCTCGAAGTTGTTTGGATTAGTTTATAGCTCAGAATCCTTTCAAATATTTAGTAAAACACCGGAGAAAGTGAATAAAAAAAATAGTTCTGAAACCAAGTCACTGGCTGAATTCATAATAGCATACAACTATTTCTGATATATAAAGATATATAGTAGACATAATTACTATAGAAACTATATGGGATGGGTAAATATGCGGAAACGCACACCTCGGACATGATTAAAATACTTGAAAAATAACTAAACCACAAATTTTCATGTAATGTTACGGCTGGAATTAGTCATGAATCTGTTTAATCATATATTCATGAAAGCCTTTCATAAAAGCAGCCAAACGACTGAAGGGTCTGTTCTATGATATCGAATTGACTCGTTATGAATTTACAAAGTTGCCGCTGAACTGTATTCTGAATGGTAAGTTGGGTTGTCAAACCTTCCTCTAAACAGTAAACACCATTCTTAAATAATGTGGTCAGTTAAACCGCTCAGTGGGTTTTCTTCACAGAGGCTAATTGCTATCCTCGTCAACTATGTTTAGAGGGCTATTGAATCAAGCAACAGTCAGACCTTAAAAGTGGGTTGAGAATGGCTCCATCTCGAGGTGGATATGTGGCATCACATCGGTGAGAAACACCTGTAGTAGCAGTAATATGACCTAAAACCGAGTGCTTGTATGTAACAAGGCTGCAGAAACCATTCGGGATAGCAGTTGGAAAGTTATGGACATTTTGGACTAAGTTATTAGAAAAATCAATCAAACCTTCATTAAGCAGTCGTAGTTTTGCTTTAGTTCAGACATTGGAAAATGTCTCTGTTTACAATTAAATAATAAATGGGTGTTAATGGAGGGCTACTGATCAGCCAGCATATTATCTTATTTCTCTTTATGACAATATATTGACCTTTGAAAGATCAAACTAATCAAATCAGTCAACTAAAAAGATGTTTGCTTTAACATACTAGCTTTATCACCATACATAATTGTCTATATTGTATATTGTGTTTTTGTTATTTTGTACATTTGTATATTATTCTTTTATCTATGTCCTGTCTTGTCACCGTCATTCTGTTGCACTGTGGAGCTTCTGTCACTAAAATAAATTTCTCGTATGTGTAAACAGTCCAGCTACTTGGAGGACCCAAACTATAAACTGGAGAAACTCAAGTATGTTTGGCAGTAGTACTGACTAGATCAGGGATAGGCAACGTCAGTTCTGAAGTGCCATTGTCCTGCAGAGTTTAGCTCCAAAAACGCAGCTGCCTGTAGCGTTAGTAATCCTGATTTAGATCACTGTTTTGCCAACCGAAATCCAAGTGGAGCTGCTGTTGTCTTTGCCACTGACAATTTTTATTTTTTTGCTCAATGACATAGATTACACAATTATGAGAATAGGTTGCAATATAATCAATAGCTTAAAGTCATTTGTATTATTATTTTTTTTATAACCAGTGCTTCATAAAATGAGTAGTTCATTGCCTGAAAGTACAAAGTCTTCTAATGTGATTCATCTCGAAGTTGTTTGGATTAGTTTATAGCTCAGAATCCTTTCAAATATTTGGTAAAACACCGGAGAAAGTGAATAAAAAAAATAGTTCTGAAACCAAGTCACTGGCTGAATTCATAATAGCATACAACTATTTCTGATATATAAAGATATATAGTAGACATAATTACTATAGAAACTATATGGGATGGGTAAATATGCGGAAACGCACACCTCGGACATGATTAAAATACTTGAAAAATAACTAAACCACAAATTTTCATGTAATGTTACGGCTGGAATTAGTCATGAATCTGTTTAATCATATATTCATGAAAGCCTTTCATAAAAGCAGCCAAACGACTGAAGGGTCTGTTCTATGATATTGAATTGTCTCGTTATGAATTTACAAAGTTGCCGCTGAACTGTATTCTGAATGGTAAGTTGGGTTGTGAAACCTTCCTCTAAACAGTAAACACCATTCTTAAATAATGTGGTCAGTTAAACCGCTCAGTGGGTTTTCTTCACAGAGGCTAATTGCTAACCTTGTCAACTATGTTTAGAGGGCGATTGAATCAAGCAACAGTGAGACCTTAAAGGTAGGTTGAGAATGGCTCCATCTCGAGGTGGATATGTGGCATCACATCGGTGAGAAACACCTGTAGTAGCAGTAATATTACCTAAAACCGAGTGCTTGTATGTAACAAGGCTGCAGAAACCATTCGGGATAGCAGTTGGAAAGTTATGGACATTTTGGACTAAGTTATTAGAAAAATCAATCAAACCTTCATTAAGCAGTCGTAGTTTTGCTTTAGTTCAGACATTGGAAAATGTCTCTGTTTACAATGAAATAATAAATGGGTGTTAATGGAGGGCTACTGATCAGCCAGCATATTATCTTATTTCTCTTTATGACAATATATTGACCTTTGAAAGATCAAACTAATCAAATCAGTCAACTAAAAAGATGTTTGCTTTAACATACTAGCTTTATCATAACTTGTTTGTTAGTTAAGCAGGCCTACAGCATGGCAGAAACTTTATAGGTCTATGATAGGCTACTTACAGACATATTAAACAGATGCAGTTCTCTACAGTTTTATTCAGATAGCTGTGAAATGGATAGCCATGCACATAAACGGTAGTGTATATTGTTAGAAAAGATTTATATTTTAAATAAATAAATGCTATTCTTTTTAACTTTTTATTAATCAAAGAATTCTGAAAAAAAGTATCACAGCTTCCAAAAAAAAAATAAATAATGAAGCAGCACAACAGTTTCAACACTGATAATAAATCAGCATATTATAC